TTCGGTATTGGGGATTGAACTCAGGACCTTGTGCTTGCCAGGCAAATGCTCATTCTACTGAGCTATCTCCCCGGCCCCACAGCTATTTCTAGGTAGTGCAATTACAAGTGACTATTTTCATTCTAACTACTTTTATGTGAAGAAACATAAGAAACCATACGATAGTAAACCCTTTTCACTAACAGGTACAACATAGCTCTATACTTCTGTTTACCCTTCATGACATCCCCTACATTTTATAGAAAAAAAAATTATAGTAGAACAGTTTCTCAACATGGTTAATGAGATTAATAAGACAGCTAAGGGAGAAAAATAAGTATCTGGTGGTGTAGTCTCAATAAAATAAATAGGCATTAAAACTTCATGCTTCAAATAGCATCAAATCATTATGGTGGGTAAGTAAAATATTAACCAAACAAGGGCTGGGGAGATAGCTCAGTAGAAGCGCTTGCCTGGCATTGCCTGAGTTCAATACCCAGTACCACAAAAAAAAAAAAACAAAGCCAAGACAAGTTTTTTAAAAATTTATTTATTTATATGTGTGTGTGTGTGTGTGTGTGTGTGGCCAGCTCAGTCCACCACGGGGCGGGGCTGGCTAGCATGTGGTGCTGGGGGATTGAACCGCAGTCTCTATGCTTTGCTAAGCTTGTTCTAAGTAGGTGCTTTAGACCACTGAGCCATCTCACCAGCCTCATCAAGAGAAGTTTTTTATAGTAGACCTTTGTCCTAAGATAAAAAACCTGCTATTTTATTTTTGTTATCACTTGGATCTATCTAAACTCAGTTTGCTGTTTAAAATACTTAGTTTAGGGCCGGGGAGATGGCTTAGTAGGATAAGCGCTTGCCTGGCAAGCGCAAAGGCCGGAGTTCAATCCCCAGTTCCGCAAAATAAATAAATAAATAAATAAATAAATAATAAAATAAAATAAAATACTTAGTTTAAAAAAAATAGAGCCTGGGGAGATAGCTCAGTAGAATAAGCACTTGCCTGGCAAGCGCAGGGTCCTGAGTTTAATCCCCGGTACCACCAAAAAAAAAAAAATATTTTTCTTAATTTAAAATTCTTAGCCAGGGGTCAGGAGATAGCTCAGTGGCATAAGTGCCTGACTGGCACGCTCAAGGTGGCATGTTTGATCTCCGGTACTGGAAAAAAAAAAATCCCTAGCCAGCTACAGTGGATCACAACTACAGTCCTAGCTACTTGATAGGCTGAAGAGGATCATTTGAGCAAGGAACTCAAAATCAACTTAGCAACAAGTGAGACAGGCTGTCTCAAAAAAGCCAGATCAATCAAAACTAAATGAGTATGAAGTCAGCAACACAGACATTTGTTTAAAAGTCTGTATACTAAAAAATACTATAATCATCACGGGAGACTCAGGCATGGTGATATATGCCTGTAATCTCCAGCACTTGGGAGGCTGAGGCAGGAGAATCACCTTGAGTTTGAGGTCAGAGTGAACTATAAAACCAGACCCTGGCTCAAACAAATCATCATTAGAAAACAAATTCTAACCCATAGTTCTAAAAAACAAGTTTATGTCACTCTGAAATCTTTCACTGTTACAACTCATGTCTATTTTTACCTTTTGATCCCTCTGACAAGCAGAGAAGCCCAGGGCTGATGCATAGAGAGGCACCAGCCACCGTCAAAGCCTTCCTGGAATTCTTCATCCTGGATCCTCAGTTGGTGCTGAGACAAGGTGGACCCTGGTCCGGATCCTCCTGCATGGAGAGTCTTCTTCTGCGAGGTGGCACCCATGTGATCAACCCACTGTATGGGGGAAAGTTCTGTCTTAAAAGAAGGATCTGGAGGGTGGAGGTATGTGATTAAGCCTCGCAGTGATGACTCAGGAGGCCAGGAGGTGGCGCCTAGGAGGCTGAAGCAGGAGGACTGCAAGTTCAAAGATGGCTTGGGCAACTTAGCAGGATCCTGTCTCAAATTTTTTTTTTTTTTTTTTTTTGCGGAACCAAGGATTGAACTCAGGCCCTTGCACTTGCCAGGCAAGCACTTATTCTACTGAGCCATCTCCCCAGCCCTCAAAATTTTTAAAGAGCTGGAGGTGTAGCTTATTGGTAAAGTGCTTGGCCCAATATACCACCCACCACCACACACACACAAACCATACTAAGGGCATTTGCTTAGAAAATTTTATTCAAGGTCAAAAAACGGTAGAGATGAGGGGCCTGGCCCTAGCTCAGTTCTTTAAGTGGCTGCTTCCACAAAGCTGTCAGCCTCAGGTTGCTGTAGTTCGATCCCCACAACACTCCAGCCAGCCAAACCTGCCCTGAAGGCATTTGGAGCAAAAAAAACAAAAAACAAACAACCAAAAAAACGGTAGAGATGACATACATTTAATAGGAGTTGTCCAAGGTATGATAACAAGGTTATTTTATTTTTGTACTAATAGAGATTTAACCAGACTTTCCTGAGGTAAATCCCAAGCTGGCCTTGGCCTTGCCATCCTCCTGCTTCAGCCTTCCAAAGTGCTGGTATTATAGGCATGTACCATTGTGTCCAGCTGTAAACTCCTATACTGAAAGATAAGCAGAATGCTGCAATCTCTACACAGTGCTTCCTCTGTTTGTTTTGTGAGACAGTGTCTTACTATGTAGTTCAGACTGGCTTTGAACTCTCCATGCAGTGCAGGCTGGCCTCAAACTTGCAGGGATCCTCCTGCCTCAACCCTAAGTGCTGGGATTACAGGTGTGCCACCATAGCCCCCCTCATTTATTTATTTAAAATTCGATTTTATTGGTCGATCTTAGATATACATCATGATCATATTCATCATGGAGAATCGGCACTTGTACATGATATAAATTGTTCTTTTGTCCCCCCATTCCCCTCCCTGCTTCCTGCCCTCCCCATTTAAAAAACTTTGTTTCCAAATTTTCCTTTTCCCTTCTTTCCTCCTCCTCCTCTCCCTTGTTACCCTCCCCATTTGAATATTTTCCTCCCAGGTTGCAATACGCACTATACATTTTGGTCCTCACGCACACTTTTGGTTTCTCACACCAGAGGAATGATACAGTATTCACACATGTGTGTCTGATTTATCGCACTTAAAGAGTACGGCCTCCAGGCGCATCCATTTTCCTAGAAATGTCTCAAACACATCCTCCTTTACAGCAGAGCAGTTCTCCATTGTATAATAAAAAACATCACATCTTCTTTATTCATTCACCACTTGATGGGCACTTGGTTTGTTTCCAAGATTTGGCTATTACAAACTGTGCTGCTACAAACATGGGTGTGCATATGTCACTGTTTTATGATGCCTGTAATTCTTTGGAGGAAGACAACCAGCAGGGGAAGATCTGAATTGAATGGGACCTCCATCCTAGTTTTTCGAGGCATCTCCACACTGATCTGCACAGTGGTTGCACCAGTCTGCACTGCCACCACCAGTGCACAAGGGTTCCTTCTTCCCTCAGCCCCTCCAGCATTTGTGATTGGTTGATTTCTTGATAATAGCCATTCCTTCCAGGGTGAGATGGAATCTCGGTGTTGTTTTAATTTGCATCTCTAAAATGACCAATAGTGTTGAACATTTTTTGATATATTTATTTGTTGTATTTCTTCATCTGAGAAATGTGTATTCGTCTCAGATGCCAATTTTTGGATTGGGTCTTTAAATTTGGGAGGTCTGATTTTTTGAGCTCTTTCTATGTTCTAAACAGTATTCCTTTGTCTGGGAACAGCTGGCAAACAATTTTTTTCCCATACTGTGGGTTGTCTCTTCACGCTGGTGGTGGTATCCCTTGCTGTGCAAAAGCTTTTTAATGAGGTCCCAGTTGCTGATTCTTTGTGATAGCTCCTGTGTGATCAGAGTTTTATCCATAGTCTTTGCCTGCACCAGTATCTTCAAGAGTTTTACCTATTCTACCTTCCAGTAGATTTAAGTTTCTTTGTTAACAGTTAGATCTTTGATCCATTTCCATTTTAGTGGATGGTGAAAGACACGGGTTCGATTTTAATCTTCAGCATGTGCCAAGTCAGTTTTTCCAGCCCTGTTTATTAAAGAGGCTGTCTTTCTTCCAGTGAATGTGTTTGGCACCTTTGTCAATAATAAGGTGGCTGAGTATGTCTGGAGTTGTTTCTGCATTTTCTAATCTGTTCCACTGGTCTTTAGGCCCACCCCAACTTTTTAACACAGTGCTCCCTACTTCTAATAAAAACACAACTATCAGACTAAAAAAGCCACAACTGTTGCATTTCAGACTTATTAATAATCTATACTGCATTCTAAATAATTGTCCAAGAAAACCCTATCAGCCAAATGAAGGTTCATTGCTTTGGTCTGTAAGTCTTCATATGCTTAGAGCAGAGTCACATGTTTGTTACCACAACAAAGCCAGGATGCTGTCAGAAATAGCAGTTCCACTACCACATCTATGAAGTCCTCTGCTTGCCTGAAATGAACAGTTTTTCCCCAAAAAAGAGATGGAACCCCTGGGAAGCAAAGCTCCCATCACACACAGGGGACAGGAAATTACAGAGTCTTGGCAACAGTTCACTTCATTCACAAGTGGATGAAAAAAGAAGGCCAAGTACTTCAAAATTAAGAAGCGGGGGAAAAAGCTACTATGATGGGGAGACAACTTTTTCTCTTTTGAGACAGAGTTTCACCATGTAGTTCACACTCGCCTTGAATTTGCTTTGTAGCCTAGGCTGGTCTTGAACTCACAGGGATCCTCCTGCCTCAGCCTAATGAGTGCTGGGATTATAGGTGTGTGCCACCGTGCTTGGCTTGGACTTAACATTTTTTAATTTCACAATTTATTGAGAAAACCTTGCCAGAGTAGTAATCTGGTAGCCTAGAAACCCTAACAATTATTTTTTTTTCTTTTTTACAAAATGGACATTCATCTGTATACTCTTTTGTTAAGTTCCGTTATTTGAATATTATAGGTGTGCAAACTCAGCAAAATATTCTAAAAGAGTCCAGTAGCCCATAATAGCATTGGGTCTTCTGTTTAACTGGCAATGTCAGAAATTGTTGACC